TGTTTCAACAGGAGAGACCTGGCACAGTCAGACACACGCATTGGACATCAATGTCACATGAATCATACTAGAAACAATACTAAAAGAAATGAGTTGTCTTCTTATGCACAAGTTATGTCATTTGTGCATGACCCTATAAAGTATTATACATGTGATTATAACATCTTGTGTTGCAGTTTGGAGATTATGAAGCCAATACACAGCATCTTTCAAATAAAGCCATACAGTATTTTCTTGAGTAACTTGTAGATTTGTTGTCTCTCTGTGCTTTACAAATAATCCTGTTTTTTATTCCCTTCACTGCCCTCACCATAGCAAAGGTGCAGCTCCTCAGGAACCAATCTACCTTTGCAAACAGTTACCCTCTGGCATCTCTCAGTGAGCCGTAGGTGATCTATGTTCCTTTCTTTGAAAAAGAAATCCGCTGTTATCTTTCTTTCTGATAGGAAAGAAGGAAACAACAGGTAGTCCTCTCCTCTATTCAGGTACAAAGCAGCAGTGTATGAGGAATTACCTTCTGATTAAAACAACACTTTTGACTAGAGGGGTACCAGGGGAGAAAGGTGTTGTGTTTCCTGAGAAATTAACTTCAGGCATTTCTCTTATAAAAAGGCTAGATTCCCTGAACAAATAACTTCCCTTTTACAAATCATTAAAAATTTAACGAGCCCTCTGTGCCTGCTGTGTAATAGTATGCCAAACATGATACATTGCCTATCAATACAGAATTACATTGTAACTTTTTTTAATTTATTTTCCCATCTCAGAAGAAATAAAAACTGCAAGACAAACTCTGTCACAATCAGAGTACATTCAGAATGGTCGTTGTTTGTTCCAAAATGTCTTCCTGGCAGTTTGCAGTTCCCCAGGCAGACAGTGCTATCACTGTTGGTGATGTCTAGGCCCTGTCCTACAAGAACTGCGTGGTGATGGGGGTTATTTTTATCACTGTCTATGTCTGCCTCCAGATCTCTGAATCTGAAGTCCTGGAACATCTCCAATACTTTACTGTGTGGTGATGTATTCATTTGCACTGCACCATAACTTTTCTCAGAGTCTCAGACACACAAAGGTGTTTTCACAGCTACAATGAAGTTTATTTTTATTCAAAGTGTTGAAAGTCTCATTTGGTGGTGCATTCTGCACCCAGCATTGTGGCTTTGGAGTTCAGTAGATCCAAATTGTGATCGTAGCAGGTGAAAGTGTGCTCACAGTAGGGCAGCCTCAGATTTCACAAACTGACTTTCAAATAAGCACTCCTGTAGTTCTGGGTATAATGTAATATACCTCTGTTCGGCTTGCATCCCCAGGGATTTCTTTAGTGTTTTGAGATGTTTAACACATATAGTTGATGCATGAAAATTCATAGCGGCTGAATAAATGAGAAGTAAATAAGATGACAAAATCACTGACATTGCTGGGACTCATTTAGATCAAACTCTTCAAAATCAAGCTCTTCAAGTCACAAGGGTCATTGAACCATTGCTGCGTTTTTCTGATTCTTGAGGAAAGTCGTTTCATGTTTAGGACGCTTATGAATATAAAGAGAGTATTTCCCTTTGAATTTCCTGTTACTTTTTTAGATTCAGCAAGTACCGCTTGACCTGGCCTTCATGAGTAGAATGTGCCGCTGTGCCCCAGTCGGATTGAGGGGTTAGCATTTCGGCACAGTCTGGGGAGCTTCTTTGCTTGCCTGACTCTTCTAATGTCTAATCTTGTTTTAAGCTGCTCTCCACAGCTGCTAGAATGCACTGTTCTTAACTTCAAGACTTCAGAAAATCTGCAAGCCCCCATGCTTTGTTTCCCTGTGAAAATGCTGAGCTGATCAGCATTACATTCTTAAAGGGACACATCCTTTCACGTAGGGGACTCCTTGTCAGAACCGTCGCAAGTACAGCAGCTAAATTCTGCAGGAAAACAAAAACTTTTACCTTTGCAGAAATCAAATAATGTTTTTTGTGACAGAATTAAAAGAAGTTGTGTTTGTTTGCACATCTGCGGTGGGAGTTGTTTTATTATAGGTTTCTAGTTGATTAATTTCTAGCTTTTATAGGAGCTTAATAGAGTAAGTCAAACCAAGAGTGTGTGGGTTTCATTGAGAGTGAAATGTGAAACTGCAGGCTGTTATCTGTGTAAGCAGTAGGTATAGTAATACTAGTAGCAGTACGACAGCGATAGTTCAAGAGCCAGGCTGGTTCTATGTGTCTTTAATGAAGACAGCAGGCCACAGGCAGCATCAAGAGCAAAGTGATACATTTCACATTTCTGAATGTTAATTACACTATAACCTGCCAGCTTTTTCTAAACCTGTTTTGGTACTTCTAGAAAAGCACATTGTGATAATGAACCAAAACCTATGTGAATCTTCCACTGTGACTATTCTGAGAGGTGTTATTGCAAAGGAGCATTGAGCTGCGAGTCTGGTGGCAGGATTTGATTTCTCTTTGTATTCTGCCTCTCATTTCTTTAACATATTCCACTTTATCCTCACTCTGCTGTCTCTCACAGCAAAGCTCTTTCAGTTTCTTCTACTATTTTCTTATTGTTGTTACCAACAGTCAGGTTCATGCTGGCTTTTGGGCTTAGAGAGCTTGTTTTTCTGACTTAGCGGTACAGTAGTCCACCTAGCTGCTGAGCCTCATAGGCAGGCTTGACAACATCCAAGTCTACGGACAGTCGATGACCGCTTCCAGTACAATACTTTCTATAAAGTCTCTTCCCTTTTCAGTTCACTGGAGAGTATATGTGTGTTCTTGAACCCAGCTGTTGTACTGTATTCCTGCCTCATCTGAGTTTATTAGTGATGCATAAACAGGAAGAAAAGAAATTCAGGCACAGAACTTAGAAACAAGTACAGTATTTAGTTGTTCTTAATATTGATCTTGAATTCTTTCCCAGTCTAGTGTGCTTGTTTAATTCGGAATGTATTTCTAAATTAAATGTTAACAAGGCAGAAATAACACATAGAGCAATACTGAAAAAAACTCCTAACATAGCAATTCATAATACTACAATACGTGAACCAATGTAATACAACTTACAGAACTAATTGTAATGCTATGTCATGGGGGGAAAGGAGGTAAATCCAAGACAGGAGAATGAATGGGAGGAACAGCTGAACGTCCATCCGAAAAAGCAGAGAGGCCAGGAGAGAGCACAAGGGGAGAGAATGGATTGGAGACAGGATTGTGCATAGCATTACAGTGAAAAATTGCTGAAATGGGTTGCATAACTGTCAGCATTCAGCATTCAAAGGGTTTTATTGTACAAGATTGTGTAAATAACAAAACTGACAAAAATAATAACAGATTAAAAAAAGTTACTTTCTACTATATATTAAAAAAGTACATTCTAAATATAAGTGTAATCACCTTGCTCAAGTGTGTCCAGCATGTATAGGGGTCCCGGTATTCATATTTATAGAAACATATGCCATCATAACCTCTGTTAATTGCATTTAGATCAAAAACATCAACTAGATTAATAATAATAATCGCACCAATGTTAGACAATCTCGTGTTGCCCACTCTAGATACTACTCAGTCCTCTTTACCAGGCTTTGAACTACAGCCCTTATTTAACTTTGACTTTTGTTTGGCTTTTATGCATATAACTTTATATCTACAAATATCTATGTAGGCATCACTTTTATTTTTTACTTTAAATGGGATCCACAATACATTTGTAATCAGAAAGGCAAAGCCAGCACACTTGTGTTTCAATTATCTCCTTGACAAAGCTTTCAGGAGCACTCTGGGATTTGGATAACCAGCCCTTGTGGACTCTTTGAGGCAAAGAAATGAGGACCACTTAAGGACTAGTCAGGGATCAGCCGAAGGTCAAGTTAAATGTAATGTCCTTTGTTTCGCCGTGAGGAGCTGTGTTCGGGCGGTGTGCAGGTCACGTCTGCAATTTCAGACTCCTTCTCCACGGGCAATGAGAGCAGAACTCCTGAGAGCAAGTGCCCTCCGATGATAACGAGCAAGCTGGTTCAAGATTGGGTTTCTGCTTTACATTAACCTGTGCTTCAGTTCCACTTCAGCGTGACGTAGGTACCCCAGGATGAATGCAAATAAAAGGGTTTTTACAGCTGAAAGTGAAGTGATTCCTGAGACATCTATTGAAGTTTGCACTTCATGATTTGTACAGTAGTAGTAAAAGGCTGGTCAAACTGTCCCAGCCTGACCGCACAGCTGAAAGAGGGTTGTGGAGGGGTCTGGTCGAGTTTCAGGGCAACACAGGGCAAGCTAGTACTCAGCCAAATTGAGACCTGAACATGCCCCCAGCTGGCCTGCTGCTCTTATTGGAATGGGCTGGAGGCCCTAGAGCTTCCTACCTTTGTGCTTCTCTTTGTCTTCTTCAGTCACCCCATTATACAATGCCAAGATAAAATCTGTGAAGCCCCATTAAGATTATACAAATTATCTTCATCTTTTTTATTCAGACTTTCTTGAAGATCTAATTATGTTTTAGGAGAAACTATACAGAAATAATACAGGACTAACCTAGGTGGTTCACAAACCTTTTCTGGACCCTGTATCCCGTGCCAACGACCCACAGTAGTGATGCCCACTTTCTCCCAACTTGAACGGCTCGATGGCAACAAGATACCAGTGAAGCGCGTTGCCCAGGACATTACAGTCTCATGTCCCACACAGAAGGCTGGGGTTTTTCAGAATGGCCAGACTGCAATAGTTTGAACCAGCCAATAATACCACAGATTAATACAGAAAATAAGCAAAACCAGTGTTGATTACAGGGAAAAAAGAAAAATATCTGTCCTTTTCAGGACAGCAGTGTCGAAAAAGTTTATACAGGGGATGATCTGCTTTGTTCAGAAGTATATGCATGCCATGAGCACACTGGGATAATACTTGTCCTTGTCAATTAGAATAATGTGTGAATATACCGTATGTTATTCATATGTTAAAATTCAAATCTGGTTTGAAAGTATCACCTTTTCCAGCTGACTTATTCTGAATGTGTATTCTTTTCTCCAGGTGGAATGGTTGAAAAACGAGGACATAATTGACCCTTCAGATGACCGTAATTTCTACATCACTATCGATCACAACCTGATCATCAAGCAGGCCCGGCTGTCAGACACAGCTAACTATACCTGTGTGGCCAAAAACATCGTGGCCAAGAGGAGGAGCACCACAGCCACGGTTATTGTCTATGGTATGAGCCTCTTGGATTGCTCCAGTGTTTGTCCCCCGAACTGTACTAATGTGTGACCCCTTGGACTGTGCCAGTGTGTGACCCCTGGACTGTGCCAGTGTGTGACCCCTGGACTGTGACAGTGTGTGTCCCCCTGGGACCCCCTGGACTGTACCAGTGTCTGTCCCCTTAGAATGTGCCAGTGTGTGACCCCCTGAACTGTACCAGTGTCTGTCCCCCTGGACTGTACCAGTGTCTGACCCCCTGGACTGTGCCAGTGTCTGTCCCCCTGGACTGTGCCAGTGTGTGACCCCCTGGACTGTGCCAGTGTGTGACCCCCTGAACTGTGCCAGTGTGTGTCTCCCTGAACTGTGCCAGTGTGTGTTTCCCTGAATTGTACCAGTTTGTGTCTCCCTGGACTGTACCAGTGTGTGACCCCCTGGACTGTACCAGTGTTTGACGCCCCTGACTGCGCCAGTGTGGGAGCCCCTGGATTGCGCCAGTGTGTGACCCCATGGACTGCATCAATGGGTTTAAACACTAAGGCGCTTCTGTTCCACAGACATGTTCACATTTCATCCTTAATCCTTTTTTCAAAATATAACCACATCAATCTGAACTCCCAAAGCTCTGAAAATGTCCTAAGAGATATCTCACTTTTTAAAGGATTTCTTCTAATTACACCCTAGTGTGGCACTTCATAAGAGAGGCTGAGGCTGTAGTGTGAATTTCTTATATTTATTTTTCATCTGCTCTCTTGGAACTCTGCTTCTGAGAAAATGATCATAATAGCAGCAATATTGCAAGATGCAAGTTGCTGCATTTCTTTCTATGTTCTTTACAAGGAATTCAGTACATTTATTTGAGTATTTGATTAAATATGTCAAGAACAGTCAAGGTAGGAGCCCCAACATAATATTTATAACAACAGTGACAAAATAAAGCCGTCACAAAATGCTAGGCACAAAAGCAAACATACATACAGTACACTGGATCTGGATAGGCTGACATTTGGCATCGGCAAGGCATTATGCAGACAGTTATACAAGTAGGATATTTTCCGATTTCAAATTTCTTCAATTTGTTGTGCAAGTACCTTCTTTCTTCTTTTTTATGGAATAAGGTACATAGGGGAGGGATCACTTGTATATGTCAGTTTTTTGCACAGACAGTGGTACACATTTCTTTTTGGAAGATGGTGCTGAGGTGCCGCGACTGGAGTCCACAGATGTTTAATCCATAATCATATTGTGAACTGCTTCTGCACTTCAATTAACTAGACTTTCCAGCAGGATGACAGCCTACTGTACATCAGCGTAAGGGCAGTTGCTCCTTGAACTCTGTCCTGCTTTGTATTACCACTTTGCTGAGCCCTGCCATTGCTGTACTAACTAGAAAGAACAGAAAGCCTGGCAGTTCTGCTTTGAGTAGATTTCATTTATCACAGCCAGAAAGAAATGAAGCCCATGGTCTGAGCTCCTACTGTTTTAAATTAGAAAAAACTGGAATAAATTAAGGCCAGTAGTGCAGCTCTTTGTTCAGTTCAAAACACAGACCATCCAAGGCCAGGTGTGGGAGTCAATGTCTTAACATGAAGGAGAAACATAACCTTGAATAAGGTTATAAGGCTATTGACATATAAGATGAACATACTAGAAAAAAATTGTATCCCTCTTTTGCATTTTAACTTTTCTTCACTCCATATATCTCTGAATAAAAAAAAAAGTTTTTTTTTAACAGTTTTAAAAGCAGGCCCAGCCAGTTGGACATAGAATAGATAACATGACGTTACCAATGATGACTTTCTCAGTGTTCCTAAGCATGATTGTTACTGGAATTTTAAAGCTGTTTTTTTTTATTCAAACTTTTACAGAAGGGCTCATCGTAGGTGCTCAGTGTATGAAGGTTTTATTTTCTCATACTTAGATGCACTGTTTGTCTTTCATTTTGGTCAGTATCAAATGCAGTGAAAAGAAAATAAGTACTCCGTCAAACAAATAGGACTTGCATTTCTGATCTCTCCTCAGTGATGCTAATCCACACATTCAGCATCTGGCCAGAATAAAAAAAAGGTGTAATTGGAAAGATACACTTAAAGGATGAGGATTTTGTTACACAGAAGTCAGTGCTGATTCCTCCTTCCCCTCCTACTGTTTCCAAAGTGAACCTTTTCATGTACTGTAGCTGTTGACGTACGAGACTCAAGACGTCTTATGAGGATTCATTTTTTTATGTTTACTTCACCTCCTTTTCATTAAAAGCCCACTTCCAAAAAAATAAAGCATGTTATGTATGGTGCAAATGACAATCGAATGCAAATTATGTAGAAATTGTTTTATTTTGTAGTGTTAAAATGCGGAAGGGTCTTAATCTGTTTGTGATTTTGGCACAATCCTTTCCCATTTAAGAAGTCATTAGTGCTGTCAGTTATGACTATGTTTGGCTGAAGAAGTCTTTGATGTTGGTTCATCCTCTGAAGTACCTCACTGAGGTACAGAGCCTGCTAATTTTCCTTCCTTTGAAGCAGTAAATGAAGAAACGAGAAAGATGACAATGTTGAGAATATACTTAACACAGCATAAGGTGAAAAATCAACAATTACAGCAAACAACAAAGCAACTAGACTTCCATAGATTAATGCTTTCAAAAACGGATTTCAGGATAATTCTAGGTGGGTGGGAAAAATGTATAATAACTTGCCACATAATAATAGTTTCTGGTAGTTTCTGCAACTTAATAACAAAACATCTACATACTGAATATACACCTCGCTGCACTACATGTAACAGGTCATATAAGGCGATGAGAAATTAGTTTTTTTTCTACTATAAGCAGTAGACTTTTAGAACCAAACACAAATAAACCTGACCAACTTGGAAGACAGAGTATAGTTTAAAGATACTATTACTAAAATATTCTAAAATTAGTGCCTTGCATAGACATACTGGAAAAGATGGTATGCCCATGCAAGACATTCATTTCACAATGTAGTACTGCACATTCATGTTGCATCATTGTCTGTTTTGTAGAGATTCCTCTAATTCGTTACGCATCTCTGTTTTCTTGTTTTGCATAAATTTGCTCCATTTGTAGAGGTCTTTGCTGTGGTTAGGTATCCTCTGTGTTACCTCAATGTGACCTCAGTATCGCCTCAGTGTGGCTTCAGTATTGCCTCAGATTGGCCATAGTATTGCCTTAGTGCAGCCTCTGTTGCCTGAACGTTGCCTCAGTATTGCCTCAGTGTCACCTCGGTATCGTCTCAGTGTGGATTCGTTATAGCCTGAGTATCACCTCTCTTCTACCTCAGTGTGGCCTCAGTGTCACTTCAGTGTTGCTCTCTGTGTCTGTTGCAGTGAATGGAGGCTGGTCCACCTGGACAGAGTGGTCTGTATGTAACAGCCGCTGTGGCCGTGGATATCAGAAACGTACTCGCAGCTGCACCAACCCAGCCCCCCTGAATGGAGGAGCTTTCTGTGAGGGACAGAACATGCAGAAACTGCCCTGCACTACGATGTGTCCAGGTAGACCACAGTGTCATCGCCAGAGCCTTATCTATGGTTATTATGGTCTGTTTTCTGTGGGTGCTGTCTTTTTAGTGTCTTAAAAATGTTAAACAAAAACCTTAGTTAATTTAGCAAAATAATCATACTTAATATAATTTTAACATATAATTGTTAACATTCCCAGCAGAAGGCCAGAATGTTGCCTTTTGAAAAAGGGATGCAGCTCGCCAGGGTCATCAGAGTTTCATTGTGGAAAGCCTCTTAAACTGAAAATGCAGTAAAAAAGGAGGTATAGGCAATGGGCAGGCACTTTGTTTCTAAACACCCTCCTTACTGCTGCTCAGGAGCTTCAGTTGTTTTAGATGTTTAGTCCTTCATGGTAGAGGAAGTCTCTGAACTGATCTTCTAGGGCGGTGAGTTGAGGACGGTGGTGATGGATTGTGAACAGTGATAAAGTGAAGACAGTGGTGAGGTGGGGACAGTGGTGATGTGTAGGACAGTGGTGATGAGTTGAGGACAGTGGTAAAGCGAAGACAGTGGTGATGAGTTGAGGGCAGTGGTGAGCTGTAGGACAGTGGTGATTAGTTGAGGACAGTGGTAAAG